AAATACAATATTAACGAAATATTTACAAGCTATTACAACATGCAGTATCAGTTTAAGTACATCATGGTAGAAATATTCTGACTTTAGTTCTTAGAACGAAATGAATATCGAACTTCTAAAAAGTCTGAACTATTTTAATTGAAAAGTGATTGTAAATCAGACAAATACCCCCCCCCCCTTACACACACACATACACTCATACATATATCACCAGTCTAGACGTGCTGCCATCTCTTGGAGAGAAGACCTACTATTATTTTTTTCTGATAATAGTTCTACATATTTGGTGTTTGAATATATGATACTATATAAACATAAAAGTTAATACAAAATAGTTTTAATAAATGTAACGTTGCTAACTTCTTTATGCAACGAACAAACAGATGAAATATTCTCAATATATTTTTTTAACTGACGTTTCTGGATACTAAGACATTTATAAAATGAAAATCAATTTTAATTTTTATTTAAAAAGTATTCTTTTCTGTAATGTTTTTACACATGCATACACTTCTCATTGCGAAACAATAAAATTAACTGTAATCTAACTCGAGTATCATGTGGTATGATCTTCGCAAAACGTAACTTGGCATTTTTTTCTCGCTCACAGAAACCAAACAAGTACATTTTGTGAATCAAACCTTACAAATAATTATTGAAATTTACTTTCACGCAACCTTTTGTTTTCTTTAACATACAACAGCAAATAGATGGTGATAGTCATGATTATTGAATACCTACATTAGTTCATGCTTTGCCACCACCACCCCTTACCTCAACGGTAAGCCTGAGGGGATATAAGACTAAAAATCGAGTTTCGATACCTGCGGTCGGTACAGCATAAACATCCCATTGTGCAGCCTTGCGCTTAACTACAAACAAACTTTCACGTTTTGGTACTAGTCATATATAAACATTTAAATTACATTTTTATACATGTTTGCACTTACTTCGTATGACGCATGTTTAATACCGATTGCAACTGAGAACATAAATAAATATTAATAAAAGAACTTGTGATTAGTATAGTATTGTTTTAAAATGCATAGGTTGAACCGAGATAAGCAGATAGTTTTGTTTTGTTGAATTTCGCGTAAAACTAACCAAGGGCTATCTGCGCTGACTATCCGTAATTTTGAAATGACAGACTAGAGGTAAGGCAGCTAGTCAACATCGCCCTCCGCCAACTCTTGGGCTACTCTTTTACCGAGGAAAAGTTAGATTGACCGTCAGTTATAACGCCCCCACACGGCTGAAAAGACGAGCAAGGGATTCAAACTCGCAGATTACAAGTCGAGCGTCCTAACCACCAGGTCATGTCAGGTCCTAGACAGATAGACAAAGAATAGCTATATTTATCACGTAATCGCCATCGAAACCGCCCTGATCCTTTGATCTTCTTATAGCTTCCAAAATCAACATTTATAGTTTTTCACTACACTTTTTAGCATTTCATACTAATTTTTTCCAAGGTCCAAGCGCTGCCCAGTAGCTAGCGGCCCAGACTGTAGAACGCAATTCGCGTCTTAATGCTGCAAAAAAGAAAAAAAAAAAGGAAAGAAATCTTGCTCCAAAATCCTGGGCCATAGGTGCGTTATAAGAGTAACGATCAAAACCTGTTATTCGATCCCACATGAACACTACAAACAAAAAAACCTTTTCTTCCCTCAATCCTTCCTTCCATCAAGTTTTTTTCTTTCTTTCCAGGCAGGTCCCTATTCTTCACGTGATGTTCCCTGAATATAATTCTTCTTTAAACATCTCGTCAATGAATCTTCTCTCATGTCCTTTTCTTTTTTTAAGCACCTCAAAAAATTCGGTTTTCTCTCAGTTCACAATTTTTTTAGCACTCTCTTACAGTCAAATTATTAAAACTTTCTAGCGTCTTTTCACCATTCTTCCTTAAAGTAACGTTCAACTTTCCCAATCACAAGTAGACAGATGGATGTTTTTAATTTCGATATTATTTTTACTCAAATCAGTTATTTTTTTAGACTGGAGCTATAAGATTGAACCAACTTTAATCTTTCGTTTTAACTCAATATCACAAATTTTATAGACAAAATTAGTTTTTCGTCCAGACTTATCACTCACTGATCATTTTCATCATACAGCTACGAATTGGTGATTATAACTCTGTTCAGAAAAAAACAAAAAACAAGCGCTTAGTCTGGAGCATAAAAAAATCGATCATATTAATAACGCTTCACAGGATCATATAGTTTTGTACTTTAAATTATATGTGTGTTCAAGTAGGAAAAGCTATGGTGATGTTCCTTATGCGTGTGAGAGTAGGGGGTTGGTTTTAGCTTGCATATATGCGATGGCAAACCCGCCCTACGCTTGTAACTGACATATTTACATCTTAATCAGGAGTAATTTAATTGTTCCTGATTTTGCAACCAATGCCACTACTCCCAAGTCGTGCGCTGTCATCAAAGTAGTCAACCACGAAACTCGCGAAGGGTGGGGGGCGCTGTCATCAACGTAGTCAACCACGAACCTCCCGAGGGGGGGGGAGGCAACAGCTTCCAAATCGATTTCTCATTCGAAGCACTGACGATGTATCTCTCGTTCAGCGTTTGGGTTGACGTCATTCCCTCATGGGTTGGTCGTTCAGAAGGATGAGTCGATCAATCAGCCAATGGGCTTCAGCCGTTGATTGTTTAATGTGTGGAGAAGGAAACAATGCATTGTTTCCATTAGACGGGTATAACCGAACCCAGACTATAGTCGTAGGGTTAGCACGGTTTCACCATTGCCTCTTGTTATGTTATACGAAATAAAAAGTATTGCTCATTGTGTATGTAAGGTCTTTATAATCCCCAGCTGAAGACACAACAGAAACTTGTTATTGAATATTTCGCTATTCTAGGACCAATTTGGTAAACGATAAAGGTTCGTTACTGATTTCCAGTGCCGGGCCTTGGAGATTTTTTTTTTGTTTAATTTGTAAAGTCTTTACGGGCAAAAATAAACAAGTATATTCATGAATAATCTAAGTTTAAAATGGACAGCAACTGCCTATTGTAGAAACCTACAACTGTATAGGACGACGTTTCGAAAGTCTTTCGTCTTCAGACTTAGATTCATTATGAATACTCTGCCTAAACAACCTATCTAAGATTAAGTATGTCCATTAATAAACAGTAACTCTTAAACAAGAACAACAGCCAGGGTTTCCAAACTATCTTTAATAACAGAGAAGGTCATGTGACCCTATAGTTTATTAAAAAATCAGTAACTCTAAGACAAGAACAACAGCCAGGGTTTCCAAAACTACCTTTAATAACAGAGAAGGTCATGTGACCCTATAGTTTATTAAAAAATCAGTAACTCTAAGACAAGAACAACAGCCAGGGTTTCCAAAACTACCTTTAATAACAGAGAAGGTGATGTGACCCTATAGTTTATTCAAAAAGCAGTAACTCTAAGAGAAGAACAACAGCCAGGGGTTTCCAAAACTACCTTTAATAACAGAGAAGGTGATGTGACCCTATAGTTTATTCAAAAAGCAGTAACTCTAAGAGAAGAACAACAGCCAGGGTTTCAAAAACAACCTTTAATAACAGAGAAGGTGATGTGACCCTATAGTTTATTCAAAAAGCAGTA